TTAAATTGAAAGTCCCTCCATGCATACTTATTATTTAAAAATTAAAGAGTTTTTTAATAAAGGAATACTATAAGTGCTCCTTTTAAAGACCTCTTCTGAGGATATCCATTTCATGGATATGTTTCTTCTGTCCCTCTTCTACATAGACATTATTTTAGAAAATGAAGAGATTTGACATTTTTGCTTTAAAGTATTGCTTTACTAGCTTTAGCTGCTCTTCAGCTCTGCTTGTGACGCGACCCAAGGTAGCTCTGGTTCTTACTGTGATGACTTCTCAGTGACCCTCACAGTCCTTCAAATTTGAGTCTTAGATTTTTCTAAGCTCTATGCTTCTTTAGGTCTTTGACTTTGTTTTTGCACACTGCAAACTTATCCAGCAGTACTAACTGCTGCACTCAGAGGCTTTGCTAAAAAGAAAATTAAAAATGTACTTACACTGCTGGGGTATATGAGTGGCAGAGGAAGCAGCAGAAGTGGAATGAGAACAACGAGTAGGAGGTTTCTGGATCGGAGAATCTCCTTCATCACTGCCATACTCTTCTATTTTCTGGTGGCTTTCTTCTCCTTCAGATACTTTTCCGGTTCCTCAGATTCTTCGACTTCCACACCTTCACTTTTTCCAACTTTCAAACCTCAGATACTCCAGCTTCCACACTACTTCAACTTTCCTTCACCTGTGCCTGAATTTCCCCAAAAGGTCTCTAACTTCATTTCCTATCCCCGTACAGTCACCTAAAATACCTTTCTTAATTTATTTATTCTTCAGTCTTTTGTTTTGAAAAGGTTTTCAATTAAAAAATATTCAGTTTATGTGGGGCTCACCAGCACATCCAAATTATTATCACACCGTAACATGCAGAGTTTTGCAAGTTGGAACATAGTGATCTTTTGACAATTTTTAGTTTTAATTCAGACTCACATTTGTAGCTGTGTTGTATCCTTATTCCCATGTTTTATAAAACTTTTTTTCCATCATCTAGAGATGTGACTCCTGTTTTCATAAACCAGGCGGTATATGTTTTGAGCTGCTGCTTTTCCTTCTGTTTGATAGTCTGAATGCCTCAAATACAGTTTCTTTTCTGCTGGAAAATTATTAAACCCAACAATTTATGGTTCAGTGCGTAGAAGTAAATGTTCAGGTACTCCTTCTTTAAAAAAAAAAAAAAAAACAACCCCAAAAAAACCATCTGCAACTCCTTCGGACTTTATTTCTTTGCTTCTGCTTTGTATCTACCTTTGCCCTACTTTTGCCCTGAGCTTGGAATTCAAAGGGCAGCAATTCCAGCACAGATTATACTTGATCTCAAGACAAAAATTTGTTAAAAAGCTACATGCAGCTCTAATGCACCAATGAGGACTGCAGAAGGTAGAAGTTGCTCCACCCATTGTCCAAAACCCAGTCAGAACATTTGAGAACATCAACAACCTCCTCATTCTGACATTCACACAAATATACAAAAAGACCTTTTCTAAGTTGCTGAACAGTTTGTTATTGTTTCAAGGTCCCAGTACTGATGATAAATAAATAAATAATCATTGTTTTCTAAACAATATCTTTTGTCTTCCTGTTTCTTCCGTGGCGATCCTGATTAATGTGCCCTAAGTAACCAGAGGATTCAAAATCAAATTGGAAATTTTTAGACTTTCCACTCTAGTCTTCTAGTGCAAAAACATTTCTCCAGCACTTCTGTAATTAATGCTTTTTATGGGGCCAAAAGTACCATAGATTTAGGGCTGAATCCATTGGCTGGTTACGTGCACAATCTGCAGACATCCCTCCATTTGATCTGGATCCTATAGAAAGCCACACATCTGGGAATTTCCATGCCCTCAAAAGGTGCTTGCCTACCCTCTCCCCACCTCTCCTAGTCAACAACAAACTGAGCTCCCCAGACTGGATTGTAATGCCTCTGTGACCATGATTCCTGGAGAACTAGCAAAGGCAGACATGCAGAGGGTTTGATGTGCAAGGTGAATTCTTCCTGAAATTAGTAATTGTATCTCAGACTGTGAAATGCTTCTATATGCCTTGAAACTTCCATCAAGCAACAGAATTTTAAGACCCTTCAGGCAAATTTAGCAACTAGTTCTGGAAGTAAAAATATAGTAAATGTGAAGATTTTGGGTTTGCCAATGCAGCCAGGGCATTAATATCTGTTTAATCAGTTGTTTCAGAGAGACAAAAAAATCTAAAATACTTTAAAAAATTACAAGTAGTTTTATTTTAAACAAAAAAAAATCTAACTTTTATTTCACATTTTTATGATCTGTAAGGTCAAAAGGTGGATAAAAGGTGCCATTTAGGAGCAATGGTTTTCTAGCCTGTGAGGGAAGAATGGCCTATAAAGAAGATTCAATCTGAAGTGATAAGATGTAAAAGACTGGGAGCAGGCAACCTACTCCTGTACCTTAAGGAATACTGAGGGAGGGGACTGTCCTAAGCCCAAAGAGCTACCCTGAAGGCAGAGTGCTCCTTCCCACCAGAACTCTGGAAAAGAAGGCAATCTTGTTCCTATTTATTACCAACTCCTGCTCCACAGAGGGAAGGGTTGTTCCCTCTTCTCTACTCTGCTGTTGCTGCCATGAAGAGTTTTCCATTCCAAGGTAAACAATTAATCAAGCTGAAGTTGCTAAAAAGTAAATCTGTAGCTGAAATCAATACAATGCAAAGACAAGTATTTTATGTAGAATATTTTTATTATTACATTGAGAGTCTCTGTTAAATTAACCTGGGCAGTCCAAGCACATTCCCAAGGAATAAATCTTTTTCTTACATTACACACAGTAAAGGGAGGAGGGAAATAAACTCATAAAACATTTATTTTCTATTGAGGAGATAAAGGTTTTCAGTTACCAATTTGTAAGGTACAGTAACCTTACTATGTATGCCAAAGGGAATTATAAGATAGTAAAAATTATCTGTAATTCTTTTCTATGGGATTTTGTATGATGAGTAAACTCTGACTGCTAGACAGTCCTTTTGTGGGGTGAGGAGAGTGGCTGGGTGTGGTCAATTAATATTTGCTTTAGTTCTCTTTCTTATTATTTTTGCAGACTTGGAGTAATTGGCTGTAAGGGATTTATAAATTGCCCTGTTTCCAGGCTCTTCTGGCAAGTGGTGCTTCAGGGAGCCAAGAAGCAGAGCTGGAAAAGCAGTAGCCATTTCCCCTCCATGTGTTTATAAAGCATGGTGGGGGAAGAAAACAGATCATCAGTGTTAAAGCTCAGGGCTTAAAGGGCATGAGGACTGTAGTGCAAGTCTGCTTTGTGAGAGCCAGGCTGTGTGTGCAAGCAGAGAAGATGGAGACATTCGTGGCCTATAGTTTTATGGTTGAGGTTTTTGGTTTCCTTTGCCATATGCCAGACAGACTTTGAAGACAGCCAACAAAATTCTTCAGGTATAAAAGTGCACCTACACATATGTGAGTCTAAATGCAGATGTGCACAACCATACACACAAATACAGAAACTCCTGGGAGAAACAAGAGTGACTCTGTCTTTTAAAAGCCCTTTGTCCAGCTGCTAATGCCATGGCCAGACTGCCCCTAAGGCTGCTGTGGTTCCACATTCCCACATGTGATTGCCAAACCCGGTGTGCTCTGACTGCCTGTGCTATTTGCTGTTTGCTGCAACAAGGTGGTGCTGGATAGATATTTTTCGGCTCCAGTCCTTGAAGTATGCCTTTTAAGGGACACAGTAGAATTAATTCTGTTTGCTCAAGTGATGCAAAAGCAGTTAAACACGATTCAGAACTTGGGCTGGAATCTTCAGGTCTCTTCTACAGCCTCAGAGATTTGTGATTTGGGCCTGTATTCTTAAAACATTTTGCCAGTAGAGAAGGATGGTATGAAAGGATGAAATAAATGTTTAGCGGTTTTCCCATGGTCTGGAAGTAGAAGCATCATTAATTTCAATAGAAAAACAGAGTTTGTATCACTTCTGCACGAAAATTAGGGGATTCGATTTAGAAGAGTTTGGATTTTTGATCTCTAGCCATCTGTCTGACAACATACATGTTATTTTTCTGTCTATTTTCTGTCCATGATTTATTGGGAGCTTATTGAAATCAGTTGCACTGTTTCTACAATTTTTGCTTTTGCTGCTCCCAAACTCATAATTCACACCACTGAATTGATAAATAACATTTCTGCTAAGTGGTCAGATGCAATTTTTCCCTGACTGAACAATTTAGGATTCTTCTACATACTCAGCACTTACGTGCACACACATGCATGAACATACACAGAAATACACGCACACACACATACTCAAATGAATATACAATTTACTATTAAAATAAAACCCCAAAACCGAGCCACAGTGCTAAATTCAGCACCAGATATGTTTCAATGTACCTTCCTCCCTTGCCTCAGCAGGATTCTGAAGCATGGGTTTAGATGATCTACGTTCACGCAACAGAACCAGGAAAATGTGTCATTTATTAAATTAAATAGGGTCTTTGTCTTGCCTTTGATTCCACCGCGAACAAATATATATTCCTTTCAAAAAAAAAAAACAAACAAGCAGCAGAAGCAAAGCCCTGTGCAAATAATGAAAGAATAATTGCAGACTGTTTGGGAGGGCAGCTCTAGGAAGCAGGGAATACGTTCAGAGGCTTTGTTTGCTGCTGGTGTTCACAATGTCCTTTGTCTTCTGCAAATGTTATTGCAATTAAAAACTGGCTCAGCCAAATGAAGTGAATCAGAGAGTGCTTATTTACAAGAACATTTGGAATGAATAATATACGGCATAACTTCTGAAGCCTGACAGTTATGAAACCTCTTCTTTTTACAGAGGGCCCTTGCATCTATTTAAAGTTTTCTTTTACTGGCCAGTCAAAACATGAACTTGTTTCCCTAGCTAGGAAAGCAATACTCTCCAGCACTTACACATAGGGATGTGAGCATAAGCACCGTATACTTAGACATTGTTTTTAGGAAATCTAAAGGATGAAGCAAGGGTTTGTCTGGGTGTACCCCAGACTCATGTCTTTGCTTGTCCCAGAATATGCCTCCAAGCCAGCACAAAAATTGAATTCTAAGGACTGGACATTTTGCACCATTTAAAATGGAACTATAAGGTGGATTCCACAAGAGGGAGCTAGAAAACAAATAATCTTTCACAAAGCGGGCTATTAAACTCTTTACAGAATAAAGTGGTGGACGTGCTACATGTGTCCATTATCAACCAAAAGAGGTGGCTGAGTTGCTGTTGCATCTAGTCTCCCCCTATGATGGCTGCTTGTTGTATGGGAACATCAAGTCGTGCTTCAGGGCTTTGTAAAGACTGACAAAGGACTGAGCCCAAACGTCTTTCTGGTGTCCCTGGGACTGAGCAGCTCTGTAGGCTGTGTAGACCATGGTCAGCACTGTCCTTTCAAAGTCTTCTTTCTTGAGGACTCTTGGGTAGGAAGACAGCATGCTACTCAGCCTGCGGATCTCTGTGATGCTCTTGGGGATAATCTCGTTGCAGATGGTGTCAAACTCAGCAGCCTTCCTCAGTGAAGCGAGCTCCTCATCTTTGATGGAGATCCTCTGACCTTTGTCAATGTCAAGCTCAGCTAAAAGAAACTGGTACAAAATCAGAACACAGAAAGCTATTTATTTTCTCCAAGAAACTCCAGGCAGAGTAAATGTGCATTAACAACCTGTCCTTAGGTCTTTAATTTATGTCAAATGGAGACAATTGCACTGGCTGGAGGTGGGGCAGACCGTAAAGTGTCTATGTGAAAACTGGACTCTTGTGTTACCTACCTAGGAAAATTAGAGATAGTCTATGGGGAAAAGGAAAGAGGAAAAGGAAAAAGCAGGTCCTCTTCTGTTGTCCAAAACAGGCAAGGGTTGCTACTGGCACCGTGCCTAGTTCTGTGTGAGAAAGCACATCAGTAGCTTCCCAGCCCATCTCCCCTGTTTGGACATCCAATCCCAGTTTCTCAAGGTGTGGGATAGACAGATTTGACCTGTGCACCTTCTTCAGGTGGGCCACTTTCCCTTAGCTAACCATATGACCAGACTGTCATTTACAGATTGCAGTCCCCACTGCTGCCAAAGGGGGGACCTGAATTGTTTCGAAGTGAAAACAGTCATGCCCTTGGGATTACTTTGCAATTACTGATACTTGTAGCCTTAAAAATTTGGGACTGAGACCTAGACCAAAGAATTTAAATGTACTGTGTTTTTAATATGCAACTCTTCTGGAAGAAAGTACATTTCAGTGGAAAGCCTTTTGCTCTGGTTGTCACTTTGCCTGTTGGTGAGCTAGAAATCAAATTTGAGGTACAGCAGGCAACTGCTGCCTGCTTAAATACTCAGAGAACTGAGATTGTCACATATGTATATGTCTGTTCTCTCCCTTCTGGTGATCTATCACACAGTCAGCAATGGGTTCACTTCTGGGATGAGTAAAAGTGACATGAAGACAAGATAATGGATAACCCCAGTATGGAAAGTAACCCCAGTGTGGAAAGTAACTCTGGTCTTGGTTAAGGCTTAAGGTACCATCTGCTCCCACATACTGAACCTCATAAAGCAGGACCACATCTTCCAGTGAGTTTTGTAACACTGGGTTAAGGAAGGCAGCTGAGGACCTCTTGACTCGCTGAGCAGCTGGGAAAAGCATAGCTGGAAAACAATAACAGAAAAGAGACGTTCCATAAGGTGCCAAACACTGAAAAGAGGAAGCACTTTTCAATAGGAGTCAACCAAAGAACTGCCTGTTGCAAAGACTTACTGTACAATATGACTTCTCACTGTAAATAAAATGCATGGCATGGACTGCTTTGACTCTAACCTACTAGAGATGGAGCTTAGCTCTTTGTCCTATATCTATATGGTGTCTAACACAGAATGGTTTATTATCCAAACCTGGGACTCTGAGTTGCAGCCCCGGAGGTGAAAGGAATAATGATAACTACAACATAAACATTATCTGAAATACATGTCCTTTTCCTGGATGTGCAAGGGGAAATCAATACTGACACTCAACAAAGCCTATTTTCTTCAGTCCATTCTCCTTCTGAGACTCTACATTGCTCTGAGTTTCAATTGTCTAAGAGTTGTCCTTCCTTATTTAATAGAGAAAACTCCACCAGAGAATAATCACCTCATCTGTCCTGGACATTTAAATTTGGAAGGAGTGATTCACCCAGATATCTGCATCTATTTACTGAACCTGTTACCAGCTTAGACAAGACAGCTACATTCAATAAGGGGAATCCCAGTTTATTATGACTTTAATACTTCACAGTGTTCTATTGTTAGAAAAAACAGTCTGCTATGATCAGGTGTTTATTCACCATTGTGAAGTGTACTACAGATACTGTCTCAGGGAAATGAGAGAGCAAACATATGTATAGTCCCTGAAATCAGCACCCCAGTGAAGTACAGCATTTGTGGAATCAATCACCTGTATAGCCCGGAGCATAGAAAATATCTGACGCTACATTAGGGATGACCTAAATGCTTTGAGTTGCTAACCAGGTTGCTAACCATGTAACCAGGTGCTGTTAAAAGTTCCTTCATTTCAGAGCAGAGGGGGAAAACTCTGTTTTGTTTCATGCTATGTGTATATTATTTAGATGTTGATGTTTAGGTAATCATAATTTGAATTTGTTCAATTTTTTCTAATGCTTAAGAATAGGAAGGGTTTTTTTCAAATCTGTGCTTATGTGACTATCGGTATGTTTCCCCATAAACTTCACATCTCCACTTTAACTCTTGTTTACCAATAGATAAATTTGGAAGTCAGTGTAAGAAACAAGGAAAGAAAACTCCCACCTTTTCAAACACATTATGATTCTCTCTTCAAAAATTAGATTTCTACAATTATGAGTAACATCTAATAGAACATGCAGCTTTCTTTGAATTTCTGAAAAGTTTCACAGCCCCCTTCCTCTACCAGCTTTTTTTCCATGAAATATTTTTACTGGATCAATTTAGTTCTGTTTTGCCAAAGTTCTTGTGATTGATTTTGCATGCTGCCTGTAGAAAACCTGAACATCATTTAAAACTCTCTCTGCTGGGCATGAAAAAGAAAGCTGGAGCAACTGTAATTATTTTATGGAAAGGTTGTCCCTGCTCCCTGACTACCTGGTTTGTCAGACAATTTGCCTCTTTGGTTACCCAAGCAGATCACAAATATGCAGTTCTTTCTAGACTCTGCATTTTGATAGGACGCCTACAGAGCTAACTGCTTCCTATTCGATCCATGTGAGTTTAGCTTAAAACTTATTTATGATAACTGAATAGTACTTGCAGGGTATGTGACTAAAAGCCTGAAGGAATGAATGCACCAGGAGAAAGAACAGAGACATAAAGGACTCGGTCTCTGCAGTATCCTTTCCCCAGCCAGCAGGATGCCTTTAGCATCCGAGAACCTCGTCTGACCCAGTCGAGGAAGGGGTGCGTTTGGGAAAGGTCACAAGCTGCCTGCAGGCTCTGCTCTGTGAGAGTGTTTGCCTGACTGGCCACTGGGGCTATGCCCACTTGCTGCTGCTGCTCCATCTCTGACGTTTACCCCTCTTGCTCAGAGCTCAGAGCTTTGTTGGAGCTGCTCCATCTTTTGCTCTTGACAGTTCATGAATGCAATTGAGTGCATGTGAAGCACTTGAAACTTCAAGCACTAATTGCTGAGTAATTAAAACTTTTATTACTGGGCAATTAAAACTCTAATTACTAAGCAGCTGGAAGAAATCCATTCTATAATGATGACTATTCATTTTCATCTCTTTTAGATGCCCTTTCAGTGAAAACAGACTCAGAGCACAGAGTACCTCTACATATGCAGATGGTTTACATCTCAGATATCCTCTGAGCCTTGGCAAAAGTGTGGCATCTTCCTTCGGTGCTGTTGTGCTTATTGTCATCACATTGATTGCTTTTAAATTGCAGTCCAAGCACAGATTCCCATGTGGAATTCCACATGGAGCTGAGCTGGGAGTCATTAGATTCAGCCCATCATCACTCACCCAGAAAAGCCTCAGTGAAGGACTCCCACAAAAACAAATGCCATATTATCAATTTAGTACTGGCCTACTTGCTGAATCACAGGTAGTGCCTTAGAAAGCAGCAGGGTCTTCCTACCCTACTGTCCCCAGGATAACATGGATTAGGTCGAGAGATTCAAAGAGACAAGAGTTTGAGCCTCTCTATTGTGAGAAAGGACTCTGTATGCGTATCAGAATCATGCCTAGGGGCCAGGCTAGCACTGATTCCCTCTTCTCATTATCTTATTCCCAAAACATATTAAACTTTGTTACAGTTCTTAGAGACTCCGCTCAGAAAGTCTTTCAGAACTCATTTATATTTGTCATGGTAATTTAATTTTCCTGATCTGCATTTTATTTCAGACATACCCTCTCTCTCTCTTCCTCCACAGGAATCCTTCCACCGTCACCCCCTCCACAGTTGTCTCCATGAATTCATGAGTTCCTCAAAGACTGCATGAACATTTAGAGCAAGCACTCTCTGATTTTCATGATACTGACTTAACACAAATGTTAGTTAAGCACAAAAGCTGAGAAATAGAAAGATTTGCAGTCACTTTCATTTGCATTTAGTGATTGCAAATTCCATTTGAGATGTTTCTGCTGACTTTTACTTTTTCTTGCATTTATTTCCATCTCTGACATGAGTTGTCTGGGCAGCATCAAAGAACAGCAGGGGAGTATTACTGTATTTACCAAATATTTACTATTTTCTTCCCCAAGGGAGTTCCCTGTGACGCTATCAAACAATTATTTCATAGGAAGATGCAGAGTAATGTATCATTTTATGTTGATGTTGCAGCCATTTGTTTCAATGGCAGTAGTCATGAACATCTAAGCAGCAGAGATCCCTAATTAATATTGATAGAGAAAACCCAACCCAGTGATCTCTGAAGTCAGTGGAGAGTCTCCTATTGATTTATTGTTTATACTTCTCTTACAAATGTGTCAAGACATCTCCAATGCAGATGCTTCTGTCAGGGCTGATCAGTCATGCAACAAAAAGCTTATGATTCGCAGATATGAGGTAGGAAAAGTAAGGTTTTGATTATCCTTACTGAAAATATTTTCTATTCTATATCTGTGTACTGCCAGGCTCATTGTCTTCTAAATCCCTTCATCACTGAGGCCTTGAGAGTTGCCCTTGATCTGACCTCCCTTGCTGCCCAGCTGAGGGCTGGAGGTGGATGAGAGAGTGAACCATCATGAGAGAGTGAGCTGAGGGCAACCACCAACTCCAAGCCTACCTGCCTGACCTGGAATGGCCTCATCTTGTGCCCTGGAGTGCAGCACTGCCTCTGCCTGAAGATGGTGGGCAGCCTACAAGTCTAGTCCTAAGGGTAGTTAAAAGTACCTGTCAAAATATGGCTCAGAAGTTCTTATTTTCTGAACCACTTACTGCAGGAGCCCATCCAGTCTCCTTCATCTCTGTTGACTCAATTCCACTCTCCCTCAGGACTATCTGTGTTTTTAAACAAAAGCTCTAGTCATGTTTCCCAACTTGTTGACTTGCTTCTAACTATTAAGCTAATGCATCTGTATGGTTTAAATATAATATCACCTTTGAGGCTGACAGTAGCTTTATTTTAGAGGTGTTTTCATCTTTCTTAAGAACTCTGCCAGAATTTTCTGTATGTCATTGGCCATGTGGTAAATATTTGTGATCCTCTCCCAGGTTTTCCATGCAGTTTCATTGCTAAGGGTACAGATGTTTAGTTTTGCTTTCCAGTTCATGCACCTGCTCATGATTTCCCAGTTGCTGCCTGTGATGTGTTTGCTCAATAAGTACAGAGCATAGCTGCAGGAGTGCTCAGTTATTTGTGCATCATCAATGCCCTTTTCATCCCCTGTGAAAAGGTATGAAACCTTTGAAAAAGTATGAAGGGTGAATTGGGCCCCACACAGACCATTGCTCCAAACCTCATACAGCTCCCTGGGGCTCTCGGACATGAACACAGTTTAACTGGGGTTATGACTCAGCAAGAATTTTTTTGATTCCCATCATGGGCATGGGAAAGGGCTATCTCATTGCTTCAGAGGGACCCCTTTCAGGAAGGACAGAAGGAGCAGAGGAACAAGGACTTGTGGACCAAAACTTCTGATTCCCTGCAACCAAAAAATGAGAGTCCATTGTAGGCATAGGGAAGGGCAGTTGTCCAGTTGGAGTTGTCCTATAAGCCAAATTCAGTCAGCAGGCTGCAGTTGCAGCTCATGTCTTAGATTACCAAGCTTGAAAATAATTTCTTTGGTCATCACTGGTTTTCTGGGACCAGTCCCCTTTTTCTGGGAGTGCAAGAAGGGAGTGGCCACACAAACAGCAGAAGTTCCTGTTCAGTGATGGACCTAAAAAGGACCAGTGATCTCTGAAACTCCTTTATGTGTTCTCCAGCAGTTGTTACAGGAATTAAGAGGGGTCTGCAAAACCATGTCCTTACAGACCATCACAACTGACTTTTTACTACAAGCTCCCAACCATCCCTTAGAAGTGAGAAACTGCTACAAGCTTAGCAGTATATCCAGCTTGGCCCATCACAGCAAAAGTTTTCCTTTCCCACCCAAACCTTTTGAAGACAGGACTCCTTGACCTCAACAGAAAGAAGTTAATGAATCCAAAATTATAATAAAAGCAATTTCTCC